CAAAATTTTTTTTTTTTTTTTTTTTTTTTTTGGCCATCATCATTCCTAGTTGATAAACTGTTTCATCTTTAGTTAAACTTAGTTTAGATTATTTTCTGTTGTTTGTGGATTTAGGTTGCAATCTCATTAATCTCTCACCTGACTACCGCGACTGATTTGATTTCCAACCCCTCACTGTTGAATGTTATTAATCAAAATAAATTTATGTGATCAAGGATTTGGCGGCCAAGAACATGGCGATCCAATACCAGTATGTGACATGGCAGCTGGAGAAAGTACTAGGAAATATTTCTTACGAGCATTTTGAAATATCTGATGAAGTTCAGGAGGAGGTATAAACTCAAAATGGTTGCACTATCTTATAGTTGCTTCTGTTATTTCAGTAATTTTATCATTTTATGTTGCCTGAGTTGGATGCCTTATGCTTCCAGGTTGAACTGGTGCGTGCACAACTGAGGAGGGAGACCATGAAGGATGGAGCGGAGAATCTGATTGTTTTTAAAGAGATTCACAATATGCTCTCCCCCGCACTTTTTGGAGAATTTAAACGGCACAATTCATTTAAGTTTGAAGCACCACAGGACGATAAAAATGGCATTGTTGATCATGGACTTAGGGACATGGTGATACTTCTTGCAGAAGTCAATGGAAAATCTGATTTTGATGCTGCGAGGATGACACTCAATTTGATGGATGGACTTAAAAGGACCAGCCATGCTGATCTTCCTAATATTGAGAAAGCTGAAACCAAGTCAAGTAAATTAGGAAGCAGCACAGTAGAAGATGAAAGACGTGATTCTCCGGTGATTCCAGAAGACTTCCGTTGCCCTATATCTCTTGAACTTATGAAAGATCCTGTTATCGTTTCCACAGGACAGGTATGTTAGAGATCTTACCTTTTAATATTGAAATCAACCAGCTTTTTCCACGTGGTAATTAAAAAATTTCACCTTTTGTTGGACTTGCAGACTTATGAGCGTTCCTTCATTCAGAGATGGATAGACTGTGGCAATAGAACATGTCCCAAGACTCAGCAAAAGCTCCAAAACCTTACACTAACTCCAAACTACGTGTTACGAAGTCTAATCATGCAGTGGTGTGAAGCTAATAGCTTTGAGCAGCCGCACAGATCAACGGGCGGACGTATGAGAAGCAACGGAACATTTCACGAAATCACTGGTGATAAAAGCCTGATTAATTCCCTCATTGCAAAACTTACCAGCAGATCAATGGAAGAGCAGAGATCAGCTGCTGCTGAAATCAGATTACTGGCGAAAAGAAGCACAGACAATAGGATTCTTATAGCAGAAGCTGGAGCCATCCCAGCTCTTGTTGGTCTCCTATGGCTGGATGACCAGAAAACACAGGAGCATGCAGTGACATCCCTCCTCAACCTTTCTATATATGACCATAACAAAGAAGTAATAATGCTAGCTGGAGCAATAGCTCCTATTATTCAAGTTCTTAAAAGTGGAAGCATGGAAGCAAGAGAAAATGCAGCTGCTGCTATCTTTAGTTTGTCACTTATTGATGAGAACAAAATAACTATTGGTGGGGCACCAGGTGCCATTGAAGCACTGGTAGAATTGCTTGAGAGCGGAAGCCCGAGGGGGAAGAAGGATGCTGCAACAGCTCTTTTTAACTTGTGTATTTATCAGGGAAACAAATTACGAGCTGTGAGAGCTGGAATTCTGAGACCTTTGATTAAGATACTTAAGGATTCGATGACCTGTGGAATGCTGGATGAGGTGCTGACCATTTTGTCTGTTCTTGTAAGTCACCAGGAAGGGAAGGCAGCGATAGCTAAAGCTAATACAATCCCACTTCTAATAGACCTGTTGAGAACTGGGCAGCCACGCATCAAGGAGAATGCAACAGCTATACTGCTTGCTCTATGTAAGAAGGACTCTGAGAATTTAGCTTATATAGGCAGGCTTGGTGCTGTTATACCTTTAACAGAGGTTGTGAATAGTGGCACAGAGAGGGCGAAGCGCAAGGCTAGTTCTCTTCTTGAGCACCTGAAGAAGCTGCAGATTCTCTGAATAAATTTTTCTCATGGGGAATATTCAATAAATTCCTCCTGTGCATATCGAAATGAAACTATAAGCTTTTATGTGAATGAAATGCAACTTTGTTTGATTTAGCGGTTGATTTTAAGGTAAATATCTACTGCTTTCTGCACATTTATTTCATTCATTGAGAAATTTGTCCAAAGCTTTTTTCTGTTGAACATGCTTTTTTATTTGTTGTATTTCTATTATTGCTGTAAAAAGCAGTGTTTCTTCTTCATCCATTTTATTCCTCACACTTGATCTTATTTGCTCTGATGAAATTATTTTTCTGAACAACTGCGTTAGAAGTCTCTTTCAGCATTTTCTCATTGGATCTGCATCATGAAACTTTTTGCATTGAAGGATTTATACGGGGGGTTTCTGGTGCTAGAATTTTTAGATTCTTGGATTTACTAGTACAACTTTATGATGAGATTTATTCAAAAATTATATCAGAGATCATAATTTGAAGTACAAACTTTTGTTTTTGTAATGATTAGTCACTTTGGATACAAACTAGAAAAAACTTACAATTCAAATTCAAACAATAATTTAAAGTTATTAAAATCTGAAATATCATAAAAAATTTTAGAATGAATAACTACCACATAACTGTTTAATAATTAAAAATATTTCCCAATTGTTAGCTCTACAATATTTCTCTAATATGTTCTGCAGTTACAATTTCAATCTCCAAAACAACTTCCAATTTCAGCCAGCATGGAAATATGAAGTGTTTTTCAAGTTATCTAGCTAGAAAAGCAAGATACCACAATTATTGTACTCCCTATGTGGGTCAGGTCAATCTGTATGGCAATAAGCAGAATCAATGCAAATACAAAATGATCTATAAAACACTCAATAATTTCATACAAATAACCTTAATTTATGGCTGCACGCAATTGCCATTATTGCATATTTTATCATGATTGTGTATAATTATAACCTTAATTTCTCTTTTATATTAGACAACTTCCCCTCCCTCCCTCTCTCTTTCTCTTTCTCTCTCTATAAAAAACTAATTTTCAGGCAAGCCAAAAATACAATAAATTATTTAAACAAGTTTTTTGTCTTAAAACAACTTTATTCATCAAGATTGAAAAAGTTAAAAATTGTGTTGAAGATTTGAAGTTACCCAAATCTTGAAGATATCTAAAGAAGCGCCTTGTCGAGTCCCCAAGAGAGAGTCTTCTATACTTCACCCAAGAGATTTCCTGATGAATTTGGCTTTCATATGAAACTTTATAGAAGTTAGCAAATACCTGGATAACTGTCAATTAAAGGTTTGCCTACGTCATAGCAAGGCCTTTTTTAAGACTTTCTTTTAATATTTTTTTTTGTTGAATCAGAATCCATCTGGGATTTACACCCCCAAAATTAAGCTGAAAACAAGAGAGAGAGATAGAGGAATGAACAGTACATGAAAAGTAGAATGAATTTTGAATTAGCCCTTACTAAAGAAATGATCCATGTAGGGGGGGGGGGGGGGGGGGGGGTATGATTACATGCTTATACCTGCTTTAATGGGGGCGTTACATGGTAAATTAGGTATTCAAATCAATGAGCTTATAGTTCGACTATTCTTTTGCTCGGTCGGTTGAGATCAGTGGACTTTGGTTTGACAATACTCTTTCGTCAAACTATTTTGAGTTGGGGTTGTCGGTCGGCTTTTGATGGTCTTCGGTTTGACCAGGCTTGAATCGGTTGGCTTGATTATGTCAGTTGATTCTTTTGGTTTGACTGTTGATTATCAATCCTAAATTAAGACCTTTTGTTGGAAGGATGAGACTAAGCTGTCGAGCAGAAGGTGAATCATAGTAATCCGACAGATAACTCCCCTCTTTGACAAAATGTCCTTTGGGCTGTTCATGGAGTATATCGTGGTAAAACTCTCAGCTCCTGGTGAAGAGTCTCAGAGAGTCTTATGAGATGGCTGGTAATGCTGGGGCGAGACTTGTGTTGATGTCTTTTCTCGGCTTTATATATCTTGGTCTTTTGTTCAGACTGTCTATTTCTAGTTGGCTTCGGGTCTCAATCTAAATGATTTGCACTTCGTCAATTCAATCTTTTGACTATTCGGTGATAGGACTCTGGGTCTTCTGTCTATGAATCCTCCTTGACCTAATTTTCTATCTCTTATTCCGTTGGATTTCCTTGACATTCGTGGTGATATATTTTTTAGGTACATTTGTAACATTGAATTTTGACTAAAACTTATGAATAAAGATTTACAAAATGAGCTCAACTCTTTCTCATAAGCTTATTTTTTTTTATTTTCTAAGCATTGAAAACAAGAGAGAGAGATAGAGGAATGAACAGTAAATGAAAAGTAGAATGAATTTTGAATTAGCTCTTACTAAAGAAATGATCCATCTATTTATAGGGGGGGGAGGTGTACAATGTGTATGATTACATGCTTACACCTGCTTTAATGAGGGCGTTACATCGTAAATTAGGTATTCAAATCAATGAGCCTATAGTTCGACTATTCCTTTTTATTTTCTAAGCATAAATTTAATAAAATTCTTAAAACTTAGAGCATTTGTGACTCGCAACTACAGCATAGCATATAAGAGCAAGCAAACCACCAAAAAATTTAGCGCTCTAATGTATTGGTTAAAAAGACTTGTACTTCTGAAAGCAGCAACCAGATCTGCAGCTTTAGTTTGGAAAGCAAACCGCCAACTATAGCTTTCCAAAATAGCTTTGTCCTGTACAAAGTCACATGACAGCTGATAAAGGCAACACAACCCATGGCCCAATAGGAAGCAAATAAGTAGCCAAAATCGCATTCAGATGATCCATATTTCTGCTACAGTGCTTCCAGCGGACCGCTATGACAGATTTTTCGAAGCTTAGGGTGCATTTGGGCCAGCACCGCATTTTGCGCCGTTTGATAAAGCTGAATTTTTCCTACTTTTTCAAAAAAACTGTATTTGGAAGCTGTTTTTTTGCGACCTGACTTTGTTCAAGTACGGCGGCTGCCAGAAATTAGCGATATGACTTTTAAATATAACCATAAATTTGCATACCATTTTCATTTTTTGAATATTATTTTCTTTTGCAGCAGCTTCACAGTCATTTTTTTTAAATGGTTGCAAATGTCCCAAAAAGACCGTTAGAAAAAGTTGCAATTGATCTAAATACTAGAAGCAAACTGAAGAGCGAAGCGACCAAATCAGTAAAACCAAATCAATATAGACATTAGAGACTACAACTCATTCTTTATAGGGATGATCACTATTGAGTATATTTTCAATAAATCTAAATTCAAAACAATTAAACACAACTCAAAAAGGTCAAAATAATAATCTTGCATTTGTTGATGAGTGTGTTTTTTCTATTTTTCTTGCTAACTTTGTAAAATTTTGGCTCTTATAAATTAAGTATTTGATCTTCTTCAATTAAATTTGGCGCTAAAAGATGCGCTTCTTGCCTATGATGATCGGTAAATCATCGTAAATAAATACATTTTTCGAAACCAGAAGATATTCTTAATATCTATCATTAATGATGGTCATAATATTTGCATGTAATATAGCTTTTGGAACAAAATTTAAGAAATGAATTGCCAAAAAGAGAATGAAGAAAATTTTTTTTTTTGATTGATTTGTAGAGATAAGTTTGCGAAAAAGCTTCATGAAGAGTTAAATCAACAAATGTCTTAATTGATTTATCAATTTCATTGAGTAGGGCTTTTTAACTTCACATTTAGTGGCAGAATCGATTTTGATTTGAGTAAACTTAATTTTCATTTGAAACTTTTGTGTTGCATTCAAGACTAGATTCATTTTTTAATTGCAATTTCAGTCTTCTTATGAGCTTGGGTTTAATTTTTAATTGAGAATTTGTTTTAAAATTGATCTCATTCTCAGATTCAATTTTAACTACAAATTTTGACTGCTGTTTAAATATATGTTCATGTTTGTAAGTAGGTTCTAATGTTGGTTCGATTCAAATTTAATATTGTTATCTGCAAACTTAAGGTAATTGCAATTCATGAAAACATATCAATTGTGCTACAAGCTTTGATAAGATATGATTTGATTATGCAAAGTCATTGTATGTTTGACAAACATTGGAGGAGATGTTAATGATTTTTTTTAGATATTTGATTACATATGTGATTGTGTTAATAGATTGGTTGTAGCATACATTAACATTCATAGATTTAAATAAGGCCTTTGGTGAATTGTAATAGATAACAGTTACAAAACATATTGTCCAAATGACATTTTTTTTTTATCTTTAAGTTTATGATTTGGGTATGCCTATATAAATTTAGTTTCATTTGCACCCCTTTGCCAAAGTAACTTGTCATGTCTCATTAGTTTTAATCAATAATAATGAACTTTCTTAGAATCAAATAGAAGCAAATGTTCGAAGAACTCTTCATGTTATTAATCCGCTTTAAATGTAGCTTCAAATCATACCAACGATTGCATGTAAACATTTCATGTCAATTATGATTGTCGTAATTAACAATGTTGTCATCTAAAATTATAGATTGCTCAATTTTATTTATTTATACTATTTTCTTAGTAGCATGTTTTAGCAATGATACAAAATTAAATTAAAAAAAAAGATCTAAGTGTTCAAAGTTAACAACTACAAAAACTGAAAGTTCACTTAAACATAATGAAAAAAATAATAATAATCAGTTCTTATGCAGGGGAATATCAAAAACACATAATAAAAAACCTAATCATGCTCCCCCCGCTCTTTCTTCACATCCTCGTTGATAACACTCATATGATGATTGCCCGGACGATCAAAACTCTCTGTCAGGTGTGTTAAACCATATTCAACCATCTGTTGACATTCACGCATTTGTCAGAGCTCTTCATTCATCAACATGACCCACCTGACAATCTCCTCATTCCGAGTCTGTAACGAGCTAGAACCACCCAAAGCTGCACGAGAGCGCTCTACCTCAAATGCTATGTCCTTTGCACCTAGGCCATACACCCTCCTCTTTTTCTTCCCCATCGCCTAAGTCCACATCTCAAAATCGGACTGAGCAGTGGTAGACTAACTACCACTGCTGCTAGTAGATGGCGAGGCCTGGCTAGTCATCCCCCTCTGTATGTTCCGAAGTTGCTCGTACCCTTCTTGCATAACAAAATTCAAACATTAATTGTTGTTTTAAATATTAATAGCTAAAAAAAG